GGTAGAGCACTTGCCTTGCATGCATGAGGCCCTGGGTTCGATTCCTCAGCACCACATAAGCAAAAAGAAAAAAAGCTGGAAGTGGTGCTGTGGCTAAAGTGGTAGAGCGCTAGCCTTGAGCTGAAGAGCTGAGAGATAGCACCCAGGCCCAGAGTTCAGGTCCCACGACCGGACCCAAAAACAAACAAACAAACAACTAAAAAGCAACTCAAAAAGTCCATGGGTATATGCATATGAGTTTAAAAAAAAAAAACTGGGGCTGGGAAGGTGGCTCAGTAGTAGAGTGTTTGCTTCGCATGTATGAGGCCCTGGTTTCTTTTCCTCAGCACCACATAAGCAGAAAAAGCCGGAAATGGTACTATGGCTCAAGTGGTAGAGCGTTCACCTTGAGCTGAAGAGCTGAGGTACAGCCCCAGGCCCAGAGTTCAAGCCTCACAACCAACCAAAAGGCAACCCCACACAGCACTCAAATCTCAATAAACCTAGGGCTTTGCTCATAACATAAATACATATTGAGTGAATCGTAACAGTAAGGTAAATTTTAAGGGACAGGAAAGGAGCATCCCTTATAGGACAGACAGGACACATACAACCATGATAGGACAAATGTGCTTCTCATTGCAGCTTGTCTGCCTATATTGTGGGGACTCAAGAAGAAGTGTAGTGCTAAGTAGCCAACCATGTTCATAAGATTTTATAAACTGTGAGCTGAAATCAAGCAGTTCATGGAGATGAAGGAAAAATCTATCAGGGAACTCAGTGATAGCAATTGTGTGACCTAGCACTCACGGTGAACATTACCAAGTACCTCTCAGAGCTGAAAGTCCAGCTTCTTAAGACCATTGGTTTCAAATGTGAAATCATTTACAACTAAATTAAGGCTAGTAAAGCACAACTCAAAGGAAACGTATTATTGTGCATTTCTCCACTCTGGAAGGTCAAAAGCCTTCTAGGACACTTGAATGTACTGGTGCAAAACAAATTTAATGAAAGACTCAAGGACATGAAAAGTAAACAAATGGAACTGAACATCTTTGCTACACCACTGAATGTGGAACCAGATGACACACCTGATAAGTACAACACAAAATCATCCATCTGCAAAGCTATGATGAGCTGAAACCTAGGTAAAATAACTTCCCACTGCCTGAGTTCTATAAACAGTACTTAAGCAATGATGATTTTCTCACTGTGGGGAGACATGCACTAAAATACTCATCTGTGTCCCGAACAACTTCCTGCTGCAAGCAGTTCTTTTCAAAACTTATCATCCCCAAAAGCTGACTACGCTTTAGACTGATAGAAACCTAGAAAGCAGATGCAAGTAGTAACATGGTCAATACTAGCTAATGTTACTCACCTTACAAAAAAGAACAGCTCTAGCCAAAACACTAGGTAAAAGATAATTAAATGTCTGACCAAATATAGCAGGTTAGTCTTTAACTTGTGTGTGTGTGTGTGTGTGTGTATGTGTGTGCACGCGTGCGCGCGCACGCGCATGTTTATGCCAGTACTCAGGGCCTCATGCTCACTTAGCTTTTCCACTCTACCACTTCAGCTGGTGATCTTCTACTTGAGCCACAACTCTAGTTCTGGTTTTTGCTCCTTCATTAGAGATGAGAGCTTCTAGGTTAGGCACCAGTGTGTCACACCTGTAATCCTAGCTAGCTACTCAGGAAGCTGAGACTAAGGATCATGGCCCAAAGCCAGCCCAGGCAGGAAAGTCTATGAGACTTTCAGCTTCAATTAAGCACCAAAAAAGCGTAAGTGGTAGAGTGATAGCCTTGAGCACAAAAGTTCAGGGGCAGTGTCTAGGCCCTGAGTTCAAGCCCCAGCCACAGGACTGCACACACAAAGTCTCCTAGATTTATCTGCCTAGGCTAGCTTTGAACCTCAAACCATAGATCTCAGCCTCCTGAGTAGCAAGGATTACAGACATGAGTCACTGGTTCCCATGTAAATTTTGTATAGCCTGTGAAGATGTTATCTAAATGACTGTTGGTGGAAAAGTTTCCCACTTATACTCTAAGAACTGATAGTAATACATGATGACTCCTACAAGCTGTTTCCTTGAACAATAGTGACTGTACCATTTGACAATGGGAATAAGTTCTGAAAAATGCATTAGGCAATTTTGTCACTATGAAAACAAACATATGTGTATATGTACTCAAACCTGGATAATATAGTCTACTACACATGGAGGCTGTATGGTACTATGTTCCATCAGTTAGTTTGGTCTATCACCAACCAAAGTATCATTATGTACTATTTAACCATCCACTTTTTCACTTATCAATTTACTTTTAGGATTCAACAAAAAATAAACAACAAATTATTAGCTTCTCAAAAGAGCAGTATGAATGCCTTAATTGGATTGGGCACCAAAAGCTCACACCTATAATCCTAGATTTCAGTTTGAAGCCAGGCTAGGAAGCAAAGTCCTTGAGATTCCCCCCCCCCCTCACCCCACCCCCAGTCCTGGGACTTAAACTCAGAGCCTGGGCACTGTCCCTGAGCTTCTTTTACTCATGGCTAGCACACTACCAATTGAGACATAACACCACTTCCAGCTTTTTCTGTGTATGTGGTACTGAGGAATTGAACCCAAGGCTTTACGCATGATAGGCAAGCACTCTACCATTAAGCCACATACCCAGCCTCCATGAAACTCTTAGTTTTGATTTATTTTTATTTTATTTTGATCCGGTTGTGGGGCCTGAACTCTGGGCCTGGGCACTGTCCCTCAGTTCTTCAGCTCAAGGCTAGTGCTCTACCACTTGAGCCACAACGCCACTTGCAGCTTTTTTCTTTTCGCTTATGTGGTGCTGAGGAATCGAACCCAGGGCCTCAGGCATGCAAGGCAAGCGCTCTACCACTAAGCCACCTTCCCAGCCCCTCCATGAAACTCTTATCTCCAATTGATCACCAAAAAAAAAAAAAATACAGGCTGGGAATGTGGCTCAGTGGTAGTGTGCTTGACTACCATGCACGAAGCCCTGGGTTTGATTCCTGAGCTGGTGACTCACACCTGTAATCCTACCTACTCAGGAGGCTGAAATCTGAGGATCATGGTTCAAAGCTAGCACAGGCAGGAAAGTCTGTGAGACTTTTACCTCCAATAAACCACCAGAAAAGTAGAAGTGGTGCTGTGGCTCAAGGGGTAGAGCATTAGCCTTGAGCTGAAGAGCTGAGTGACAGTACCCAGGCCCAGAGTTCAAGCTCCAGGATGAACCACAAAAAAATAAAAAGTGAAAGTGAAGGTGTGGCTCAAGCAGTAGAAAACTGGAAGTGGCTCTATGGCTCAAGTGGTAGAGAGCACTTGCCTTAAGCTGAAGAGCTGAGGGACAGTGCCCAGGCCCAGAGTTCAAGCCCCATGAACGACAAAAGAAAAAGAAAAAAGAAAAAGCCAGAAGTGCCCCTGTGGCTCAAGTGGTAAGAGGGCTGGCCTTGAGCAAAAAGAAGCTCAGGGACAGTACTCAGTCCCTAAGTTCAAGCTCCAGGACTGTCAAAA